TGTATCGGAATCCCTCCGTCTTCGAATCCGTCTAACTGACTTGTCCAGATATCGCATTTCCATCAACGAAGCACATCGCTTGTGGTTATACTTTCTTGGGTTGCAGCCTGGGCCTGGTGTGGTCCAATACAGCTGGACGCCGAAAGACAAGAATAAGGATTTATAGACTCTAGACTTCATGAGCATTCTGGTGGCGTTTTGTGCGTTTTTGCTTTTTCCTTGGGCATTTTCGTTTGGGACACTATACATAGCACGAAGCCGTTCTTTATTTTAATGAGCATTTATGTTTCTGTTGTTCATTTTCGGCGGCGGTTTGACATGCGGTCCGTGTACATAATATAAAGCTAGTGATGCGGGAAAGGGAGTCTACAGTTTACTTGCACGGGTTGATTCTGATGCGAACTGAGGACTCACGCTTCATTGTCTGGGGCACCGTCTGATGTTTGCTGCTACGAGCTGCTGGTTTTGAGACTTGGCATTGTGTATTGTCTCATAGATCCAGTCTGCCAGACATGTATCCTAATGGCTGTGGAGAAGAGAGAACAAGTCATAAATGGAGAAGCTGCATCTTTTTACATACTTCTTTTGTATCCCGTAACCCGTAGACACACATGTCTATACATAGTACGGAGTATGCGTATCAAACCGTACCTACGGGATGCAAGGCGCGCGTAGACATCATGGTATCAGAGCACTAGGACGGTATATTGACAGCTCGAAAATACTCTGCTTGTGTGAGGCAATTCATCTGCAGAAAACACGAAAAAATTGAAAGGGAAAGAAGCGTCCGACCAAGTACAAGCGTCCATCTACGCATGCTACTAATAAGTAGCTACATCCCCTTGAATCCCTTGTATGCAAATAGACCTGCTTCGTCCAGCCACCCCATCCGAAAACCCAGCTCTTGACGCATCCTGATCGATTCCAAGATGGCGAAAAGCTGCTCATTCACACAATGCGTCCATGAGCCATCATCTTCTCCTCTTCCAGTCCTTTCCCTGTATTATCTAGCTGCCGTGCCGCACCGGCAGTAGTATGTGGATGGAGAGCGGAGAGAGGGCCCCGTGTGAATGTGCCAAGCGTTGAGCAAGGATTCTTCCAACATTGTGTGTTTTAAAGGCGATGTTGGCGGTTAATAGGGTGGCGAAGGAAAAGGGGCAATTAGAGCAGCTTGATGCACTCAAGGCCAATGTTGATCAGGCCGGTCTGTACAGACACGAAGAATACATATCAGTAAAGGATAGACTCCGCGATGGACGCGCATCATGAGAATGGGCAACGTACCTGAGGAGCAGACTTGCAGCAGTAACTGCCTCCACCGCAGTTGTTACCAAGAAGGTTGAGGTTGCAGAGGATTCCTCCAAGGAGGCCGCCCTGGCAACAAACGTAGTTGGGGTGGTCGTTGTTGCAGCTGTAAGAGTTGTCGCCGCCTCCGGTGGGAATGGCAATGACGGTGGCTGCGAGAGCAACGATGGCGGCGGTGTACTTCATGATGACGGGATTGGGGAGGTTGAAGCGAAGTAAAGAGGGATGATGCTGATTACAGAAGAAGAAGTAAGGTCGAAGAAGAGGACGAGAGATGGCTTGGTCGGATGGAGAGAAGAGAAGATCGTTGAGATACGAGGGGATACTGAGGCCTTTTATATTCGAGAGTACCTCCTTGGAGAATTTGGAAATCTCACAATACGAATCCCCCTTTCAGTCGAGGTCGTGTTTGACGAACATCCAGGATACCTGCTGAGATACTGTCATCTGGTCGTCCTACATGACGCGCCGGACCAAATTTGCTTTCGCATGCCACATGCCACATGCCCAGACGGATTACCATGCTCGTCATACTTGTGTTAGTCCCTCCTTCTCTCGAATTACCAAGGCAGCTTATCAGGGGCAGCATATTGTCTTGACGTCCGCAAGAAGAAACTCACTCTCTCCGAGACAACCCTCCATATGCCTTCTTACCACCCCATTCTGTCTAAGGCCTTCCATCACTGGTAGCAGTAGCAGGCCATTGAGATGATCTTCCGACTTCGCAATCCGGATTCCTTCATCGACAGAATCAGTTCCATACAGACTTCAGTCTTCGTCCGAGACGAGCCCGATTACCGGAGTGATTGCAGGTCACTGAACACTTACGGAAGCAGCAAAACCCTCAGACATCACGAGAATCAGTCACTATCAAGGGTGAGGTACAGTATGTTACCCCCTCGTTGGACACGACTTACACGCCATGTCTTGCGTGTAAGTCGTGTCTTGCTACGCCTCGTAGTCTTGCTGCTCTCATTGCTCCGGCCCAAAAGACAACCACATACTGTGATATCACCTGATCCGACGTACGTGGCTTGAAAGAGACTTCTTGCCTTTCCAATCACAACCAAAGTCAGGGTCACGCAGACGGGCTCAAAAACATAGCGCGCATCTTCAGCTGTGTCCCTCGTGTTCTCGTGCAGAAGTAGCTTTCGATCCCGCATGTATCAATCGTCCGATTTTGGCTGCTGGAGAACCCTTACAAAAGCCGTGGAGTAGCGCAGACTAGCTCCTTCCAACGACCTTATTCAAGCTTTCTTTGCTGCATCGACGGCCGCGGGATCTCCCCCGATCAGCGATGCATGGCGTGTGGGGAAGGGAAGGGCGTACGAAGTTCGAACAAAGGGGGGAAGGGGACCTCAAGGCTGAGGATTAGTCCAATGGCAAGAGCTTGGCACGACGCCACATTGTGTGCGGAGGACATATTCGTATGGTACGTTACTCTGTAGGAAAAGGTAATCCATGTGGATGAGAGAAGTCTCCTATAGCGTCAGGTGGTGCTGGTGGCGCTAAAAGGCCACGAATGACTGTGTGTAATTCTCCAGAGGTCGTGCCGTATATTTCAACTTCCAATGTGTAACGATTGGTTAGTTAGTGGTACCGGAAGGTCTGAGCCCATATTCCTTTGGAGGCCTGGCGGACTTGCCCGTTCTGCTCCGCAGCCCGCTGGTGGAAGGCTCTGCGGGGAGAGAAACCGGTGGACTTCATTCAAGATGATATGCCTGCAGCGTACGAGGTGTACGTAGACATGCCCACAGAAGCCCTAGCTCGAGTGCTGTGTCCATTCTGTAGTGGCGTACTGAGGGTAAGGTTTATCATAGGGTGGTGACTGGAGTCTGGAAAGCTGGTACGACGTGCAAGAATCGTCATGTTCATACGCTCATACGTTCATCACGTACCAATACTGTGTCTGCGTCCCACTCTTTCATCGTTCCTCACTCGTGCGGTCCCTTGTCATTAAAAGACTCGGAGTAACGGCATATGCAGTAGAGAACACCTGGTAACACAGTAGCCCATGAAAACGCCGTGGCGACGAGCGAGGTGCCGATACTCGGGTGTGCCGGTAACGGCACGTCGCCAAGTCGTACATCCGGGTTTAGACCCATTTCCTTTGCTCCCCCTCCCTCTCCCCGACTTAAATGACAAGTTGGGCTCGTCATCGTCCAGTATTCGAATCTTGATCTGGCCAGTGGCCACTGTGTTGCGCTAGATGCTCGGCTGTATGCACACTGAAGCCAGGACGTGAGAAAGGGGCACAGCCCATGACAGGGATCTGAGAAGAGGTAGACAAGAAATAAAACAGCGTGAGGATGCCACAAGATGAGTGACATGGTGCAAATACGGCACAACTGAGCCATACATATACGAGCGTTCGTGGAGAAAGACAAGATACATTTTGCTTTTGGTTGGATAAGTCAGTCAGCCCTGGCGTCGGAGTGAGAATTGTGTGACAGCTGGCATCTGGGCATCTGTCCAGCTTCTGCTTGCGCCCTTCTCACGGATACCAAGAATGCGACCGTATGTAGTATAGATGAACTATCCCGGGGTATAGTTCACCTGCTAAGTCAGTAATTCTGTCGAGTTTGCCACGGCCAATTATTGCCCCCGAGCTTTGCGGGGAGCCTTGGCCAGAAATGTGGAAATCGAGGCAAGAATTTTGCCTTTCAGTTTGCGGGAGAACGTTTCCCGTCACCAAGTGTAATACTCAGTGAGAGAGCCCCTCGAAGAAGGCAGAAAGACATAAAGAGAGCATTCCGACAGAGACAAGGCTTTCAGTTGGTCTCTGGAGGAAGATCGTGTGTCCATTGTCCACTGCATGCTCAACGAGGAATCAAGGAATTCTGTACCGGTCGTGAGGTGTTCGACACTCCCCCTTCTTTCCATTCTTGAGGACCGACCTCGTAGCTCTTTCCCTCTCGCACAGCATGTGAACAAACGGTACATATTTGTAGTTTTGTCACACGCCAATTCTGGCTTAGTGAGCGGACTGACCGAGCGTTGTGCTCCTGCACCGGCTTCTGAGGACGTGAAAGGACTGTCTCGATGTGATCCGAACGACCATAAGAATAGTCCTGGAGGTGCCGGGAATAATCCGCTGAAGTCCCGTCTACATACCTGTTCCTACGGAGTATTCGTTGACTCTCGCTGGCCTTGATGTGGTCCAGAGCTTGTCGATCTATACAAGTCCTGCTGCGGATCTGAACGGCCGATGCAGTGAGCACCAATACCAAGAGAATGATTGGAACATCACGTTGCTTGAACGCTCGCGATGCATAATTGGCAGGGCGCCCGATGAAGACTCTCCGTTCGCACAGCGCCGAACGCCACTGGCCCTCTCCCGACCGACCCGATGCCCGGTACCCGAGCGACTGGAAGATGAGACATGAAGAAGTGAGACAGTACGTTGAGGTTATCGTGCAGCTTCGTGCTGGTCGCAGAACGACTTGCGATGAGGCGTAGAGGGGAGCGAGCACTACAAACGGTTATGTATTTGGTGGATAATAATTAAACGCCGCCAATTTTGAGTTGTCTCTTTGAGTCTTCCAACAATTTGGTGTGGAGAGGGGGATTCGGGGGCAAAAAGAACAAAGGAAGTCACACACGGTGAATATGAGCGAAAGAATGCAAACTTGAAAGCGATAGCCGCAGTCTCCCTTGTGACTTGTCTGCAACAATGGCGGCAAAAAGTGAAAAATTGACACCTGAGGGATTCGAACCCTCGCCTATTACTAGACCGCGAAGAGGAAGGTATGCTGCGAGAGCAAATCTTAGCCTGAACACGGCGCCTTAGACCACTCGGCCAAAGTGCCTCAAGTTACCACTTGATGTGAAGAAGTATCTTATTTCTTGTTAATAATTACGTTGAGTCCCTGACTCGTCGTTGTCCGTGCAAGTTGAATTCTGAACCTCACCGGTCCTGCTTCACCCCTTCTCCCGCGACGCGGTCGCGACTCGCAGGTACCTGGAACAATGCCCTCTTGCTCAAACATACGCGCGGAAGCCGTGAGCTTCCAGATACGTATTCCCATCACCAAACATCCGAAGAATGGATGACCTTTCATCAGCCCTCAGGGCGATGGTGCCAGCTGTCGTCATAGTGCGTGAGCCAAACTCTCTGAGTTGTCTCCAGTCGCGCGGTGGTAATAACCGGGCAGACACACAATGCGCAGTTGATGCGTTCGCTTGCGGTGAAACTACCTCATGGCTACGGGAGTCTTTGCTTCTTTTGGAAACCCATTTCGTTCAATTATCTTAATTGTTCAATGAGGCGTCGTATTTTGAGGGTTACATACGTTTGCTGACTGCGGTATAGTGTCGGAGAAGTCCCTTTGTCGCTCAGCTCGAGAATCTACCCATGTCTGATTCGTTCCGCTGTAGATGCTCCTCCCATTTGCGCAAGCAAAGAGGTTTAGAAAAGGCCACACAGCATGATGGTGGCTCACCATGACCAACCTGTGTACTCTGTCTGGCCTTGATATTTGTTCCTGGATCTTCCAATGCCTTGTTCAGGCTGGCCAGCGCGGGTACATCATTCACAAGATTGAAGAATGATGATGATGGTGCACGTTGGCTCAGCCTCATCGTGATCGGTCGACCGGAGGCTCGCGAGTCGCGACATTGGTGCGCGCGACGCACAGTGTGCTTAATTCTTCACGTTTGTTAAAGTGCTTCAGTCGATAGGAAGTATGTAGCTTCAATCACAGTGCAAAAGAGGTGTTCAGCCCAGGCGCTGGAGTAATATACGTTGCTGACCCAAAGTGGGAAAGAACGATGCATTGCTTCATCATGACAGTTGACAGTTGACACTGTAGAGGCAGGTAGACTGTACTGGCCAGTGGCAACTGCCGCTGCTCTGCCCTTCCAGGCTTCATGACGACAAACCTGCTCCACTCTGTCCCCGCAAGTACCTTCATCCCCCAGCGGCGCCAACGTCGAAGTTGCAACTTCATCTTGGCGGAGGCGCAGTCACGACAACGAGCACTAGCTTCGACAACGCCGATAGCAAAACGATCCATGCTTTTGAGACGACTTCATTCGTGACGCGCTGACCATTGACGTCCGTATATTCCGGCTTTGATCGTCACGTCACTCGCGGGCCAGCATGCGCACATCATGCCCACGCTCTCTGAGCCCCGCCGACCTCGTCTGCTTCCTCAGAACCGTAAGCTTCGCCATCTAAAGGGGCTCTCTCTACGGAATCTGTCCTTCGCGCCCCGCGGCCCTGGCAATGCGTACATATCAGATGACGCCGCTATCAAAAGAAGCCCTAATAAGCTCGGCAACCTCGACGAAACAGGTTCGTCGCCGCTTCGCGCCTCGCGGTCTTCGGAGAGCTTGCGCCTGGACAGCCTCCGCGCTGACAAGAGGAGGCCGAGAGCCCAGCCCCGACGAAGCAGCTTGAGCGTGGCCCATGCGAATCCCGTAACACGGCAGAAAGATTTAGAATCCCTCGTCGATAGCTCTATAGGCGATGTCTTTTTCTCGTTGCATGTGGCAGACTGCGACGAGCCCGTCTACATCAGCGAAGTCCGCAACCGATCCGCAGTGCGTCATACTATCCTGTTCTTGTCGCGGCTTTTTTCTCCTCGGTGCCAATCGAAACACTAATTTAGATCTCCAGAACTTTGATTTTCAGTTCTTCCATCTCTCTTCTCGGGAAACCTGCATTTCAAGAGCATGCATTCTCACCATTCGCGTCTGGTGTAAACGTCCCCAGCGAGCATCATGGACCTTTCTACTGGAAGAAATTATCGACCTTCGACGACTCAACTTCATTGGCACGCTGACTGATCGTCGTTTTCCGCCCAATGCTCTTGTTTTTCACCTGCAAGATGGCTTGTACTCCATGGACTTCCCAACAAGGACTGCCGACCCAAAGCCAGCGCCCCTGGTCGCCACCTCTTCGTACACTGCCCTCATGAAGCTCGCCAACCTCGAGAGCTCCGTTCAGGACGCCATGGAGACGCAGCGCAAAATAATGCAGCAGATCAATGAGATACTGGACCAGTCACCGGCCGATCCGAATCCTGCTGCCAACGAAGCGACTGCCTTGGCAATGAAATATGTCTCAATGCAGCGTCGGGCGAACATGGCAGCGGAGACAAAGCGTATTGACCTGCGGAAATCTCTCCGAAGTAGGCGTGAGGCCATCGCTGAGGGTAGACGGGTTCAGACTCTAGCAGAGGCGGACATCCAAAACAACAGCGAGAAGTTAGCTGCGTCTGTCGAGCTGGTGCAGCAAACGGAGCCGCAAATTCACGGCCAGAGACGGCGCATTTGCTCCGAACTATGTGACATGTTTCCCATTACACCCATCCCCAACGCACCGCCACTATCTTTTCAAATATGCGGCTTACCTCTGCCGAATTCCGTCTACGATGCCGCCACTGCCAAAGTGATTGGCGAAGATGTCCTCTCGGGGGCCCTGGGCCTCGTCGCATTGCTCACCCGCCACCTGTCATTCTATCTCTCCTCGCCTCTTCCGTATCCCTTGTCCGTCTACGGCTCCCGGTCCTACGCTCGCGACAACATATCTCACATGCCAGACACCCAGTCCCAGCGGCAGTCTCAGCGGCAGCGGCAACGGCAGCGTCGTGAATTCCCTCTCTACCTACCGCGTGGTGGCTCGACAATTGGCCAATGGCGCTTCGAATACGGCTGGTTCCTCCTCAATAAGAATATTGAAGCTCTCTGCGCATCCGAGGGCCTCAAGGTCGTCGATATTCGCCACTCCCTCCCGAATCTTAAGTACCTCTTGTATGTGTGCAGCGCCGGCACAGAGGAGATGCCCGAGCGCAAAAAGGGCGGCGTACGGGGTCTGTGGGACGGGAAAAAATTCAATGGCCACGCACGAGGAAGCTGGAGCGGGACAGCTGGCGCCGTGCCTGCTTTACCCTTTGCCTTGGATGCCGATGGCGAGAGCGGCAGCAGTAGTGGCAGTATCGCAGGGAGTCGGCAGGCCAGCGTGGACAGCGAGATGATGAATCGGCATGGAGACGCATTGAGGAGTGCCATGATGAAGATGGATGACGAATGGGGTAAGGACAGTGGTATCGGTCTGCCATTTGGGGAGGAAGGGGGCTTTACGCTGAGGACCAAGGGTTTGAGGGAGAGTATTGCGCAGTGAGAGTGTCGCCTGCGTGGAGGATAAAAACAGTAGCCATTCAAGAGACTCACGTTTGTTGTCCAACAGTTTTATAAGCACACTCCATGAGGCCTTCGTTGAGAGTGTTTATTTCTATGTTCCTCGCAATCAAGCCCAAGTCAGCCCCGGCGATGAAGTCCTTGCAGGTACCCTCGCGTGATGTATCATTTTACATCTACCAAGGATTCCTTCAACAGTGTCCGTACAGTGTGTCCAGGAAAAAAAAGGAAAACAAACCATGTCCATGTACCACCCATTCATTACGTTTGAGCAGGGATGGCAAGAGATCACAACCATTCAAACCAGATCAAAGCTGCATTGACGCCCCGCGCGAGGAGTCGCGTCTGCTTGGCCTTCTCAGCAGACAATTAAGCCGCATATATTGCAACTGACGAGAACTCCCTCTAGCGGCGAGCCTTGTGTGTGTACAGGGACAAAAGGGGGTTCACTCGAAAAGATCGAGGCATCTCACCTTATGGACGAGGGCGGTCTTCCACTTGTGATATCAACTACGTACGCCTGAAGAGAGAATCGCGAAAATGACATTGGCCAGACGCATATCCTCGAGTATATCTCACAAGGAACATATGCCAAGGCATCATAAGTATCTGCGTGTATAGATGACCATTACGCGACATGACATGGAAACTTGGGCTCTTCGCAAATCTCAACGTTCCGCATCAAAAGCACTGGTGCTCCCACGCAATAAGCGGTTAAATGTTACAGCGCTCGCGACTCGCCCTGGGCCCAAGGTGTCAGACGTTCTTTCCACCCATGGATCATCGTATGTTTCTCCAAACAGCTCAATAGCCCGGTCTAAGTCACCAAGTGGTTCAGCGCATGTCACTGCATGGCTACGCACTCCTTTGTCCCCTTTCCCTAGCTGCAATAGTCCATAGGCACGACCTGGACATCAGGATCATTGGGCCCGGGACACCCTTCGCGAACCACGGACCACATGTCACAGCCTCCTGAGCTTGGTGACCCGATTTGATTGACGGAGACCTTGCACTGGCCCTGTATGGTAACGAGGACCCTAAATTCTCCGGTATAGGTGACTGAGTATCCTTTTTTGCCACTGCCATTATAAGTGTTTAGCAAAAATGTAGACAAGATGGACAACAGCTACTCAGGCTGAGGCAACGGCCATGTTTGTCACCATTTTACACAAGTGACAGAAGAGCAAGGCACAACTTACACAATCACACAACAGGTCTCCTCATCTCTTCCTTGCAATAGCTGAGTTTCCGGAGAGATGGCGTCGAAGGGAGTCGCATAGGCACGGTATACCTCCAGAGTTGAGAGGGCAAATGCGCCAAGAACGCTGCTGAACTTCATATTGGTTATGTCAAGACCTTTGAAGTTTGAGTTTGACGGCTTGCTTCCTAAAAACGTTTGAGACGTATTCGAAGTGAACGTTGGGGAGAATAGGTTCTTGCAGCGTGATGTTGAAATAGTGTTCCGAGTGCCTTGAGTGTCTTCAATACTGCACCATGGTAAAACGCATTCTTGAAGACTAGAGTAGAAGAAGTAGTAGGACGCGTGCTTGCTCTACAGACGTTGGTGAGACACGTCGACGCAGCACGCTATCCTCGCCCCGCTGCCGTTTCTTCCAAGTTCCGCAGTACTCCGTACCTACACATGTACCTGTAGGCTGTAACCTAG